TAATTTTAAAAAAGTCAATTTAAAGACTTAAATGTTTATTAAAAAAGTGTAATAGAAGTTAATTAAATGTCATAAAAAGTAAAAATCCTCCACTTATGAGAATTAAAATATATTAATTCTTTAATAGGGAACGTTATAATCTATGCAAACATTTAAATAAATATATCAATTTATTGATTTGAATATGACTAAATATTATCATGTAAATGAAGTAACACGATTTTAATTAACTTTGCAACTTCTTTAATCACATAGTCAGTAAATATGTATATGAACAAAAGTTCCTGTTCTATGTACTCTATACATCGAGTTTGTCTACTTACTAATAAAAATTTACAGAAAATAAACTGTCATACGTTCAAAGGTATCGATAAAAGTGAGGTATTACAGAAACAGTATAAAAACATGTGAAGATTAATCAAATTAAAATGCGATCATTAAATATATATTTTAACATTTCTGTACAAATATTCAGTTCAGTAACGTATAATTTTTGTAAATTTGTAAACATACACAAAGGTTAGGCTTCCTAGGTTATGTTTACTATAAACTACTTAGACCTTCGACTACATATTCCTATAGATCCGGTTTCCAATAACTACCTCGAAGTCAAGATAAAATCGGACACACTTCATTATATAGGAGTTAGCTCTAAAAGTAATGCAAGTGTAATTGGTCAGTTTTAATCTTTTCCTATCTTATTTTCAATATTAATTTGCTATTCGTCAATACAGTTATATGAAATTCAGGGCTACTATTTAACTGGGAGCTTGCGAGTTCCATAGTGACTTTCCCCTCATGAAGAGTTACCCCCTCCAGACCTAGATACTTTTACAGTTCGCTTATATCCATCAGGAACCCACCAAGAATGGCTTTCCGGATTGAGGGGCAAGGGGGACAAAAAAAATGTCTAAGTTTCACTTCTGTATCCTGTAGCCAATGTGTCGGTAATGTCGGTTTTTACTTGTAGATAAAGTCAATTTCTGTTTGATATTAGAAATCGTTTAACTATAGATTTAAAATTTTTTTATTAATATCCGTGATATTCTTTTTGTAAATATTCAGTTAGGAACAAGCCGTCATAGAAGTTGGTCGATAAAATATTTCAACATTACAATTTAGTGAACATTGTAAATATGTAAATAATATATTGAATAAAGAAACATGCCACAATCCTGGATTGGTGGCGCCACATAGTGGGAGACTGCTTAAACTTCTAGCCGAATAGTACCAAAATGTACCGCTAGAAGATGCGATCAAATCCACTATTTCTGTCCTTCTTACTCCCATATATCTATTATTAGCCTCTCCCGTTTGTGCCGTCGGCCTATTACTTAATAGTGGACAGGGGCAAAAGAAAACGTCCTCTTGCCATGCTCGGCCAATTGTATGGTGACTCAGTTTGGTACGCCCTTGTGTTAGCCATCTGCTTTCTCTGTCTCACGGTTGCGTCAGTAACAAAGACGTGCCGTAACTGAGCCGCCAGAACAATCTGATTGAGCGCGGCGAGTGGATGTCTTTCCTTGCCCCCCGACCCTGATAGCCGGCCGTGTTGATTCCTGTTGCAGAGGCGAATTGTAGGTATGGAGAGGGTAACTTTTCGTGAGGAGAATAACACTATGGTATCCGTGGGCACCCAGTTAGACACCCCTGAATTAGATAAAAATTACCAGTACGGCATTTAAATGAAAATTTAGTATTTACCTTTATTAATTCTTTTCTGTATTTTATGCATATGACATACGGATTTTTAAGTACTTATTTTCTTACGTTTAATTCACTACACGTGGCTACGTAAATCAGTTATAAAAAATGTAAGTAATAATAAAATAAGGTTTAAATAAAATTCATTTATTTGTTCATCGAACGTTGAAGATTTTTTACTTCAAATATCCTAACATTATAAAAGAGGTTGTTATTTACCTAACTCTTGATAGCCAAAGGAAATGCTTGTTAGTTAGTAACTGTTGCAAATTTAAAATGTTCATATCGTCGCACTGTATATAAAAAAAAGTGTGAAGTTAGAAAAATGGAAACCAGTTTCAAATTACATTTATTTTCTGGACGATAAAAGTTAATTATTATTATGTAGTGTTACATTTGAAATAATAATGAATCCTCTAAGCGTGTAACAAATAGTTAGCAAGCTATTAACATAATATAAACATTTTCATACATTCCATTATATTTTACTTGGTTAATAAAAATAAAATCAAACATGAACTTATTTGAAGCATTTTAGGCTATATACAATTTACAGCAATTGAAATAAAAAATGATTACAAATTGTTTCATTAAAGTTATTTCAACTCATTTTTATATGAAAAATCTCTTCAACAGATCAAAATTTTCGTAAGTGTATTCAAAATCTTTAAAAATTAACTTATTTATTGATAGCTGGTATTTTCTATGTGTTTATTTATTAAACACAGGGGTAAAATATTCTAACATAGATAAATCATACTGATTTTGTATCCACTCAATGGACAATGAGTAAATGACTTTTACTTTTGCATGAAATATAAATTCATACAAATGTAGATATCTCTTTCAAAACATAATGTTTCTTTAAAATTTTCTTTATTTCACATTATCAATTAAATGTATATAAATAAAAACGCACAATAATACATACAGTTTGAATTTTCTGTATTTCATTCTGTATGTAAACAAAATAGAGGCACAATTCTCATTAAGTCTGACACTTCAAACATACCTGGTGTACATCATAAAATAAATATTCACTTACTTTACTTTCTAATGAAGATATATCTGAAGATGACATTCATTGAATAATTTTTTCTCACACATGATGTATGACTATTTTATAATGATTTCAATAATATATATTTAAAATTAATTCAAAAGGACAAGAAAATGTTAGAAATCTGTTCCTAAAATTTTCATAGAAATATAATGCAAACTGAATATTTTAATTTTTATTGACCCATGATTAATTTTTTACACTGATCACAAAACATTCTAGCGCAACCAAGTATCACACTATATTATTTTTTCAGCCAATCAAATGTAACATCAAACTTAACGTATTCGCAGATATAAGACTAAATAGTCAGAATGTTAGTTGTATAATTATAGGTATATTAAGAAGCACCAAATAATAATACCTAATTCGTATATGAAAAAAATTAGGAAAAAGTAAAAGAGAATAAAATATTTTTTAGAGAATAAAGTTTTTTCAATGAAGAATATTCTTATCATGGTCCATTGAGTGAAAGTGACAAGAGTATCTCCAATACTGTATAAAACACTTCATATATACCTCAAAGCAGTAAAAAATTTTCATTCTCTATATCTACAAGTTCTTAACACATTCAGGATTGCATTATCTTCTATTAGATTAATGCATGTTCTCGTTTCATCACCCAGTGTACATGTCTAAAGACATGATTCGCGGATCAATTTAAAAGGATAACACGAATTTTATTCTTTTGAACAATTTCAATATTAGAATAAGGAAATTACATGCACATACCTAAAGTAAATATTAATTATAGAAATCGCTTTGATAAAGTTAAATTATTTGAACATAATAAATGCTAATAGCACGAGATATCGAACATTTACTATTATCCTGAATATGTTAGGGAAAAATCTTTGCATGGTCCACCCTATATTTAATTAAAAAAGTATAATAAATCTTTCTATAAGTTTTCAATTTAAACAATATGGAAAAGTCAAATTAATATGACAATAGATCATTATTAAAATACATGACAGACTCATGTAAGAGAAATTTTTTTATTAGACAATTTGTTTTAAAGACTTGAATAGCAGATACAAGTGTAGAAAGTAAAACAGTTTCCCACTTTATATCATATTATAAGTCAAATATTTCATTTTAACATTTTCATACAATAATTGTAGATTTTAATTTCGTTATTCAAAAGTGTTTAAAATATGACAAACATCAACAAAACATAGTATTATGTAGGTAAGAAATATTACCATTTCTATAGCAACTTATCTTTGCCGATTTATTAGTCTTGATCCTTTTGTAAGTATAGTCTATGTAAAGCAGTGCCTGTAGGGCATAGCTCTTACCATGCTCCTTTCAAAATGACAGGAGCATAATGCTTGCAATTGAGCAGAAACAGTATGCTGTTGTCTGCTATCAGCCTCATAGCTGCCTCTCTTCCTCATGCCAACAAGAAGGAAGAAGAGGAAAAAGATAGGTGGAAAAAGTTGACCTCTGGAAGACGCGCTACCTGCGTACATTAAACCCTCGTGTTCCATCTGGTCCAATAGGCATGCGAAGGACATTACATGGTAAACCACTACTACTAGCAGTTATTGTCTTTGGTTGTATTCTATTTATTTCTTGCTCTAATTTTTCTTCTGGACTTTTTTCTTCACCTAAAATTCTTTTTCTTGCTTCCGCATATTCTTGCTCCCTCTACAAACATTATTTTTTACATATCCTCTTTTCCTCATGTTTTATTTTAAGATTTGGATGTTTACCTGTTTTAGAGTTTTAATAGGATGTTTTGGTTTATCTCCATTTATTAAAGGACCATCACCACTACCCTGGGAATCTCTTGATGGTCTTTTTAATATTTTTACTGTTGGTTTTGGTGGAACATATTGAGATCTCATGCCATCTTCACCCAATATTATCATTCTTGTATTTGTACTTTGATTGGTTTTGAAGCTAGAACAATATAAATATACAATAGTCAGGCTCTAATATGTTACACACAATAGTAATATTCCAAAAAATAAAGGAACTATTTAATATGGAAGCTTAATTCAATTAAATACTTATTGTAATTAATTGTAATTATTATAGCAACATTTTATTTTAAATAGTATAATATTAATTTTAAATTAAAAATTGTTCATATATCCTTTTAATATAAAGTTTATAATTGTTTTTTGATTGAAGAAGTTTATGTTTATAATTTATTAAGATTTCTTGAATTATACACTTTTAAAAATTTTACAAACCATTACAATGTCCACCTCCTTGAACCTACCTAGAAGATTCTATTTCTTCTAATGCTTCTACTGCATTTAACTGGAGGGCATCCAACTTTTTGTCGAGAGCCTAAAATCGATTGTAGTCTAATATTATATTATCATAGTTCTATAGCATATTATATTTACTTTGAATTATAATTTTTCATTAGTTTCTACATTTATCAATAACTGGAAAATTTCTATTAGAATTATTCAGTACTCATTTAAAGACCCAGTATCTCTGAAATGTTCAAAGTGTCTAATACTATAAACTTTTGTAACTGCATTAAGCATTTACCATTATTTATTGTGTAATACATACAATAAAAATATTTTATGATCAATCAATTAAAGTATTGTTTGATTACAGAAAGAATTAACCTTACGAAAAAGAATGAATTTTCTTATTATTACTAGTACCAATAGTCACATGGATTTCAACCTATGTAATGAAAGGAATGTAAAAATATATTTATACATAAAAACTAGATCGTATAAAAATACTTATAGTATAAATAATTTTTTAAATGACCTTATGCTTATAAATATTTTACTTAATAAGCACATCAGCAATAATTAACACTTTACGAACATTCTTCCTCATACAGGTTATTAAAATTATTCTTTTATTAATTCTACTTAAAACAATATTATTTTCATTATATAAGAAACAAAACTTACTCCTGATTCGTCAATTTCTTCCCAGCTTTCAAGAACGTCGTCCATGGTTGACATTTCGTGATTTCTGTATTAATTTCTATTTTTTAGATATTGCAAGAAATTTACTGCTACAGCCTTGGCATAAACTACCAAGAACGAAAGAGTCTCGCATACACATACTTTAATGAATTGATTACTGCCAGTGCCGCACAAACCTAGCGCTGCGAATGCGAATAGAACATTAAATATCACAACGTAAAAAAAATGTCTTATTTCGGATACTAACTTGGAATACGTAATATATAGAATTGAAAAGTTTGTATGCAGAAAAAAATAAGTTTAATAGGTTGTTGGAGACATATGTTTCAATATTGGCTAAAATATGAATAGGAACGAATCAGATCATGTAAGGAACAGATTCGGACAAACTAGGGAAAATACTCTACTTGTTCCTCTATCATTCCACATATCAACTTCTCTGCTTTGCATACGAGCATCCACATACTTAATCAGATTACAACAAGATGTTTCTGCACATGCTACAATTGACCATAGAATAACACAATATAAGAAAGAGTTTCACAGGTGAACTTTACAATCTGTGGTGTAGTATGAAAATATGCTGGGGCAACCTTGCCTGCGACGGTATATTATCATAATAGTGTTTGGTTACAAGTTGTGATTTGTAAACAACATTATTTATTTGGTTAGAATGATTACAAGAAAATTCAAATTACATATTAAAAATTACTCGATTATAAATTATTTTACTTATTTCATGTAACCGTGAGTCTTAATTTTTATATAGAGATGTAAATCTGACTCTCTCTTGATCTATTAACTGAGAAAATAACAATTTTTTTCCGTTAATATTAACTAGTTTTTACAAGTATGACAACACTGAAAGGCATTTTCCCTGATCCAAGTAAGTTATACGAATTCTTTCTGTAAAAGTTTATAATAATTGTTGATAATATAATTATACTTAAATATTTTTAAGTACAAAATTTCATTGATGCATAAAATTACATATGAGTTTTTAGTAATACATCATGATCTTTTATTAGGCATTTACTATATAGAACTATTGAAGCTGTTATAGTTTTTTTAAAATTATGATAGTATTGAGATGTTTATATTTTCAGTTTAAATATTCAGATTTAATATTATTATTCATTTGCGAAACAATTTAAGCTAGCAAAGGTTCCTTACAGTAGTTGATTTAAAAATAGTATTAGGAAGATGTTACATATTTATTAGATTTGAAAGTCATTTTCAATAATAGAAAAATATGAATTGCAAAAAGATAATTTTATCTATGTAGTATATTTTGTTCAATGTAACATATTTATATAATAATGCTTTTTAATTATTCGAAAATAAAAATAACTTAAAATACTAAATTTTGTGCAGTAGCTTTTACAAAACTGTATAATTTTTCATTTGAACCATTTTTTTTATTTTTCATAGTTACAATGTCATGGTGAAAAATTAAAATAGATTCCATAAATATGTTTAAAGTCATATATTGCAAACTATTTTGATTCTGTTTATGAACTTCTACATATGTGCTTAGTAATGCGAAGCTTAGTTCTTGGGACATGTCATTTACATTATCGGAGGAGACAGAGTAATAGTTTCAATATTTGGAAATCTTTGTAGCAGTTGTGGAGTATGTTACAATAAATGAGTTAATTCTAGAACATTGTGCGTTACAGCATTTGTTTCTTATAAGATGTATGTATCTGGATATGTGTATATAGACTATGTATTTAAGGATATTGCATATATTTTGAATATGCACTATATATAATAAAAATATACAAATACTTTGAATTTAATTTATTATATTTAAATTTTATACATTGCACGCATTTATAACAAATTTATAAAAAGAATTAGTCCGAACCAAAGGAGTAGGAGTCATCAGTTCTCATATATTTGCGTGTTTGTTCATCATAAAATCGTTTGTTATAGTTACAATACATTTAGGTATTAGGATAGTTATTGTTTTTCCTGATAATTCCTCTTTAGAACAAATTTTTTGTATAACTCTGTAACTATAAATAATAAAAGAATAATTTCAGTAAAAGTTATGCAGTTTTGTAAAAGATATCTAATTGCATAATAATATGTCATTTCATTAAAAACAAATGTGCTAAGTCTACTTTGACCCTCTAATAATTATCTTAGAAAAGTCTGCAATTGCCTGAGTGATTAGCCTTCTTGTACCATTGAAATTTAGAAAAAAGTAAGTTGATAACTGCTGTAGCTTTCGGATTTTATCCATTTTTCTTTGCATTTTGCATGTAGAAGGGATTTTGGATGCTCTTGCAAATTCTTCATGAAGTCCTTTCCATCTGGGTTATGCTATAGCTTTCTTCATGTTAGAGGAGTGCATGTGTATTTGCATAGTACCCCTGGTCCTCCACTACCATTGATCACCTTTCCAACTAACAAAACACAACAATGGAGATTTATTAAATTTACTGAAAAGTATCAAAGTTGTGATTATTTAGATTCTACTTAGAGGGTATAGCAAAAGTGATGGTTATTGTTCTCAGAGATAATTTCTAATATATCAACATCCTTTGATTTCAATGATTTTTTAATATGTCGTCAAGGGCATGATTTTGGACAACTTTTGCCTTACATATAATGCACAGAAACTTCTAGTCTCCGAGATAATCGCGAAAAACTTTCATTACTACACATTCAATTCTATATCCGTGAATGAGACTGTGAGATCCTACAAGCATAACCGCACGTTCATGGCTTTGCCCTTCGACCCTCTCAAATTTTACTTAAGTACTCTCTTCCACAAAAGTACTTAGTTCAGAAATTATTAAGTAAAAGCATAAACGGGGTAGGGGGAAGGTCGCTTTCACACCCGCATATCTTATATCTGCCGTTTTTCTTACGAACAAGAGTACTATGATGTCTAATTGCATCCGGACTATTTGCTTTTGCTACAAGCTTTAGCAGCTTGTTCTGGTGACTTGAATGTCAGATTGCTGTATTTACGCACCAGGTATTTTCGTTCATAAAGTTAATTAATATTTCTACGATGGGTAAATCTTTAAAATTTAACAGTTATCACTCAAAGAATATACAGAGTCTGGCAAGAAGACTTCCCTGATTTCAAACGCCAATAACTGCTTCTGAAGATTACTGTACTTCAACTACATTTGGTATATACACCTGATCTTCGATTTACGCGAAAATCCGTTCCACGTGGGTTCGTTTTACGTGAACGAAAATCGCGTAAATAAAGCCTGTCGGTACAAGAGAAACCAAAATATTGAAGAGAAAAGCTGGTATAAATTTTATAAATACATACATATTTATTTCACATAGCTTAACAAATGAGATAATAATAATGACATTTTAGAAAACAAAAGTATATTTTATTCGTTGTTGCGAAATTTAGATCGGGTAAATTGAGATCGCGCGTAAAAACTACCGCGTATATGGTGTTCCAATTTACCGTGTAAAAAAGATGCTCGCGTGGAAAAAGTTCACGTAAATCAAGGGTCAGGTGTAACTTGTCCTACGAACTGAAGAGGCAAGTGCGATAAGGGGTCATGTCCACTCGCGATGAACATTGATGCTTCGATTTCGGTCGCCTTTGTTATTAGCTGATTTACGTAAATGAAAATCACATATGAAACAGAATACCACAAAGTGAAATAAAAATAAGAAGTTGATGCCTATATTCATGCCCTATTGTTGTATCTCACTTTGTCGTATTTTGTTTCATTTGCATTGTTCGTTAGTTCTCTTTGAGCACACTTTGACAAAGTTGAAGAATGAGTATACTGAGAAAAAGCGAGATAAACAGAGTACGTCGAACATTGAGGCTCGAGACGCAGGACTTCAAAGCGATGCCGTCAAATATAAACATGCAATAAAGGAAATATCAATTTCATTAATTTTAATCTTATTTTCTTAAACGTAGTGCCAGTGAATTGCTGAGATTGTTGGGATTAAAATTAGTCCAAACACGATGTAAATCGAACTACACAGTTTTATCAGTTTTAAGGAAATGAACCTTTAATTTTGTTAATTACATTAATACCTATCTGTCGATCATCGATCTGAATTGATCCTTAAAAACTAACCAATTCTTTAATGTACCATCGAACATTGGTATGTTCAGCTAGTTTTATTTCATCCATGTTACGTAGAGAAGAAGTTAAGAATGACCTTATACTGCAGTTTTCTATTGCATTTTTTTACCGTTTCTCTCGATATAATTAATAATTTTTTCACGACGGTTAGTAAATATGTAGGTGTAACGTTGATTATGAATCGTTCGAGCTGTTCTCAGCTTGTTAATTTTCTTGCATACATATTTTCCTTCTCACTTTTCTAGATTTAAATAATTTGCATAAACTTGGAAAAATTTAATTTGACTAAATCTTCCCATCAAACATAGCTAATGGGTATTCTTCATATAAAATAACTTGTTTCATTATAATTATCTGCCACTTGAAGAATTTAATTACAATTTTTAAATTCTGTAACTATCTATTCGTTAAGTTCGTGTACTTTTCAAATAGTATTGAAATAAATATAAAGTACATGGATAACATGTAATGTGAAACTGCCTATTCTATAGGTATATATTTTTCTAATACTTTTATTATTTCACTATAAAATTATATATTGTTAAGAGATATTTCATGATTATTTGATAAGCAAGAGCAGTGGTGGATTTTTAATGTTAGCCACTGCAAATTTATTAAAGCTAATGATTATATGAATATGGTAACAATTGTGCTAATAATATGTTTTAGTTATTCGTGTGTACTTTCATGTATTCGTTTTATTAGTTTATACATGTGTATTTTCATATTTCGTGGTTACTATATTATCATTCATACTATATTATTTAAGATTATAAGTTGACGCTATAATTTTCGTATAAAACAACTTAGTAAATGTACCACTGTGTAATAAACATTTTATATTCTATACAGACCCGAGTAAATTGCTTTTAATAATCAAGATAATATTTTTATTAGAACCAGCAAGACGAAAAAATTTTATATATGAAAATATGAAGAATCTTCGTCACATGGAACAAAACTTTCACATAAATAAAGAATTGAAAGAAACACAGAATTTACGATTATATGAACGAAAAAAGATTAATAGTAAGCAACAAAGTGATTTGCCGAAGTTAACTTCAAATCTTTGTACAAAGAAACATGATAGACACATTGTCAATTTAAGTCTGCATAATAAAGTAAACAAACATTCCATAGAAAACCAACAAAAATTATCTAAGAAGTCTAGCATGCCAGAGATAAACAAAAACAATGATAATATCAAAAAGACGTTACATTCAACTATTAGCAACAATTCACCAATGAAGCAAAAAGGAAAAGAGTGTAGAAACCCACATAAATTTGTAGGAAGATTACATGAAAATGTTTCATCGGATCCTGTTTTATTATGTGAATCCACGAAAGATGTTGGTAATGATAAAAACACAAAAACTAAATTTAAAAATAAAGGTATTCAAACATTGGATGCGGATCAAATGGATAATTTGTACTCTGAAGGAATGATAAGGTATATGTATTCCCTCGCTGTACCGTGTCTGGGTCCGTTCGGACCCTGAAATGACTGTTATTATTTTTTACAATCTGCAATTGCATCGTTTAATTGTTTAGTTAACATAAAATTCCGCAATAATAAAAAAAGAGCAATAACATAACAAGAAGTTTCGAACTGTTTGTGTTAGGTGATTATGGGTCCCTATGAACTCAGGCGTGGTTCTTTGCAGGGTCGTTGAAATCGCCGGTATTGCAAGGATCAAGTATAATTTTAACATTCTGTATTTCATGTTAATGACATTTTTCCAATAGATATCCTTCAAAGAAATATTTAAATAACAATGAATCAAATAAGGAGACTGAAATCAATGAAGAAAATGATAATATTTTAAAAAGTGCAATAAACACATCATCTAATCAAGATCATTTAGAAAATTCTGAATTACATCCGCCTAAAGAACAATTGAATTTTAGTAAATTAAATAAGGATTGTACGTTTGAGAATAATAAAACAATTGACCGGATAAATAACAACAACAACAATAAAAATAATAATAATAATAATAATAGCAACTATAATAAGAAGAATGCTCCACCATCTAATTATCGGAAGGGTGTTGTTCCCAAGTATGATATTGAAACAATATTTATATTCTACATTTGTCTATAGTTTTTATTATGCTTTGGCATCGTAGAATAATTATTAGTAATACAATAATGCTCGCTTAAATTTCACTAAATTCAGGAGTCAGTACTGCAATTCTCACGTGCAACGTGGCGTTTTTCTTTCGAGAATTGATTTGAGAGCAATTCAACAAAATGAGAGAATAGACATAACGAGTGAAAGCGAGATAGACACAGTGCTGTCGAGCAGTGACGGTTGGGACTCGATACTTAAACCTGTTAACTGTGGAATTTAGTTTTAAAAATCTCCCATTGTGCGTGCAATAAAATCAAACATTAAAATGTATGCTCGTTAAAGGCAGGACAAATGGACTTATGATATATTCTAACGATAAACTAAAACAAAACGAAGAAGAATTACATATTCATCTGAAATAAATCTTGATATTCCTCCGATTAAAATGAGTCCAAACACGGCACAAATTGGACTAGTAGTTTTATCGATTTGGAGCTTTCGCGCATGCAGGGTGTTTTACGCAACTGGAAAATGTAGTACGCAACTACCAACATATTTCCTGAATGGTTAGAAATAGAAGAAAATGTTATGGATGAAAGTTAAATGGTAACAGATGATGCGTGGAATACAAACAATTGTATGCATTCTTCTGCATTGATGCATCGGAAAAATGCAACTGTACGTTGTATACTATTTTACATGCATACTGCATTGAATACCACACATCCATCTGATATCATTTAATTTCCATCCATAACATTTTCTTTTATTTCCAGTCGTTTAGGAGCTATAACCAGTTCCAGTTGCGTGGGACACACTGTATATTTAATTTTGCTGTTTATATTAAACCGGTAAAGTTCTGTTCACGTCTTGTTTATGCTCGTTGTAATAGAAAGAATCTCAATTGTCCATTGCTGCTACACTGATAGAAGTAAGATGAAAATTAGCGAAAATAAAATTTTCTTTATTGGATGTTTATTTTTCTTAGTCACAATATCCTATTAATGTATATTTGTTTCTTTTTTTTCATTATATTTAATTTCTATCTCCGTCTACTCAGACGAGACTTTTTTGAGCTTGTGGCACTGACTAATGGGCGAAGAGTAGGGATGCGTTTTAGAAATTTAATTGTACGGATTTTAGTGAAATTTAAGAGGGGATTATTGTAGTTATTAAAGACGAAAGATTTGTGTTTTATCATTGGAAAATATTTTATTTGGTAGGTATATTAAAGCCAAGAAGGAAGCTCAAATAAGAGAAGAAAAAGCTAAAGCAGAAGCATCGGATCCTGATTGTCCAAGTGGTCATGTTTCTTTACCTGAACATGAACGCAAGGAAACGTTGAACATATTAAAGAAAAGTACTGAAATAAAACTTCATTAAAATTTATTGCCCTTTATACAGTATTATGAATTACTGTTTCATTTCAATATTTCAGATTATCAAGATTATGTAAACGAATTAAACATGATGCCTATAAAGTCAGATACACTTAGATCGCAACAGCGAAAAGCCGAAATAGAAAAGCAATTAAATAAATTAGAAGAAGGCATTAAAGTTTTCTCAAAGCCTAAAGTTTATGTAAAAATGAATGCATAAACTTATTATTGTTTCTGAGTATTAAATTAAGGTTGTTACTATCTTTTTGCTTTTGTTTTCCTTTGCGTATATTTTTATGAAACGGAAGAGAATAAAAAATGTATGTCGTAATTATTGTGATTGTGCACCGTCCTCTTATTTTTAAATTAAATTTCTTTTACAAACTTGTTTTATGTTTATTTGGAATCATTTGTTCTTTAACTAACAATTGCATATGTATCTATACTGACCCTGAAGCAGGTATTATACAAGTCATGTTATGTTGCATAAAATTCTTCATAAAAGCGCACATTTTTTTTATGTTTGTAGAATTTGTTACGTTTTTGAGGAATTAAATCCTATAATACTCTAGTTTCCTTGGTCAAACCTCGTTCATTGAAAGTTAATACCTCTATTACTAGAATTACCTCGCAAATTACCACACGACATAAAACCATCAAAATGTCTTAAAAAATTTTCGTTAATCCTTTGTCTTATAACAACGTGTCAGACTCGTGGTGAAGATTTTCAATATGATTTAACAAACATGAATATTACTCAATTCATTCGAATTCAAAGTAAATTTTACCCTTCTGTAATTAATTATTATACTTAAAAGCAAACATAAACATAGAATATACCTACAGTTTTTCTCTTTTTCCAATAAATTCAAAGAAATCATAGGGCAAGGGGTTAATGTGTGTATCGAAAATATAATTCTTTGTTTTTTCTGGATGGCAATAATCTGAAAAATCAATAGGCATCGATGTATTACTTTATAAGGAAAACTCTCAAGTGATGGCATAAGCCATTCTTTTTCTGGAGTAGACACATCCATAATTAATTCCTACACGCACAGTTTTACATATGTTTATAAACGGTAAAGAAATGCATGTTCGCTTAGTCATTCAAAATACATTAAATTAATGATAGATCAACTAATTGTAAGAGATGATTTCCGTTACATACTTACATGGCCGGAGATCTACTTCCACTATCACGGATAGCGATATTGCGTTAATTTCTGCTCTTACAGAAATAAACCTGGCGAAAGGTAAGAAACAATATATTTTTACAACAATTATTCTGGTAATTAAAAGTACGTTTTAGTTTATTTATTTTGGATTTTCAATGTGAATACCACGTGAAATACACGAAGAAAAATTATGAAATTTAATTTTGCATAATATGTTCCGTATTCAATATATGAAATGTTAAAATAAAGTATGTACAGTCACCGCGGAAAGTATGTTGGCACACCGCAAAAATAGATATTTTCTTTTTTTTCTAACAATTATAGAAACAATTAAACTATTCCCTTTCTTTGTTTGCGAAAAGTATGTTAACAGCAATAAGAAAACATAGTTAACAATAAATTAAATAATAGAAGAAACATAATTAATATGAAGTTTGATATCTCCTATTTTTAATAACTTGTTCAAGTCTTTCTGGCATACTTTCGATAAGTTTATTTATGGTATTTTGATCAATATTAGATCAAGCTTGCAATAGCGTTTGCTTGAATGCTGCTTTATTGTTACGACAAGTTTCATTAATATTTCTGTCTAAGTGATCACACAATTGCTCGATTGGGTTTAGATCACGGCTTTATGGTGGCGGTGGTAATAATTGAATGTTATTTTCTGTAAAATATCATGTTGCTACTTTGCATGTGTGTTTGCGACCGTTATTTTGTTGCAGAACATAATTATCCTGAATGTTCATTTTTATTATTTATTTTTATTTTTATTATTTATTTTATTATTTATTTTATTATTTATTTTTATTATTTATTTATTCGTAAAATATTTATAGATTCTTCATCTGTCAATATGCCGTCTATGAAATGCAAACCAACACCGTTTGAGGAGAAAAAACATCAAACACACAGCGGGCCCCGCCGTGTTTAACTGTAGGTGTTATTGTTGTAGGTTTAAAGCATTCGCTATGTTTTCTCCATACATATTTCCTTCTTTTAGGGCAACGAAGTTAAAATTTGGAGTTGTCACTAAATATAATGCTTTTTCAAAAATTCAATGGCTTGTTTATACATTCTTTTGCGAATATTAAATGTTTTCGAGCATTGGTTTTACTTATGTAGGGTTGTTTTCTCGATATTCGCCTGTGCAATTCTGCTTCTTCTATTCGTGCTCGAATTTGAGTTTCTTGAATCGCTTAATTGAAAACAGAGTGTAACTGTTTGGCCGAAATGAAACGGGTTTTAAAAACTTCTTGTAAAATAACGCCATCTTGCCTGAGTGTTGTTTTTCGTGGACGCCCAGATTTTGGCAGACTTTCTGCTGTTCCATTTTTTTTCTAATCTATTTGCGATCTTTCTAACATCTTCCGCGGAAATATTAAAACACACTGCAATCTTCCTCAAAGAATTTTTTTTATTCTTTTGATAAATATTAGGGATCTCTGTGCAGAAGTGAGTTCTCGTATTTTCGGCACTAAAAAACGGCGTTTTACATACCAATACGAAACAAACGTAAAATACTGCTTCATATAGGAAATTCGGTGAGTAAATTGTAAATTAACACTTATTGTATAAATATTTTGTAAGAGAATACTAATAAAGATATGTGTCAACTTACTTTCCGCATGAATTTCTTACGTAAACTTAGAATTATACGTCTGCATTTCACAATTGTCTGATTCAAACTACATAGTAAGGTGACAAATGTAAACAATAAGCAGTACGTGAACCAAAACTGCAAAAAAAATGTAAACAGATTGCTTTTCACGATAAAATACATATTTTTGAAGCGTGTCAACATATTTTCCGCAGCGATTCTTCTACCTATTAATTTATATACTATTACTTCTTGTATTGATGACAAACAATTCCATAATTCCTTGATTTATGCTAAAATCTGTTCCATGTGAATTTATTAATGATTGATTAATTTCTACATCGTTCATGACTATCAGTATGTAGTCACTGTAATTTTAAGTAGATAAAAGTAATACACCAAGATATAATACTACGATATAATCAACAGATTATATACAAATATTCAAAATACATAAAATATATTCATATTAAACAATACAAAATGTTGCTTATTTTGTTGTTTTATTTATTACAAAATACAATAGTTTTTTCTATATAGTCTATATTAACATTATTTTTATTGACGGCGTCGAAAGACATCTTTTTGAATATAAAATTATTTTCTAAAGTTTCCTCATTTTTCTTTAACTGACATTTCGACTTTTCCTATAATGATTATAATTTTATAGATTTTATTAAATTACCCTTTGGTAAAGAGAAATGTGTACAGAAGATTAATAAAAATAATGTTAAACTGATGTTTCTTGTCTGATAAAATTAATTCAAACGCTGGAAAAAGACTTGTTACTTTCCATAAAGTTACAGATTCATACTAAAATTTACATCAGGCAATGACAAAAATCATATTAATGAGAAGAAAACATGAAGAGAAAAGTGGTGGTCCAATGCTTTGGATTAACGAAGAATTTTGCGTGAAAAAAAAGGAACAAAATTAATATAATACGAATGCCGAAAAGCGTGAGATTTGTTCATTTATTCTTTTTAAATCAGTAAATATTGATTTTTTGCGCTAACAATGAATTTTCTTTGTACATTTCCTAAATGTTCCATATCGGATACTTGTCATTTCTTTAACTAACCGTTGTTTACTTTTTTTTACATGTATTACTTAGAAATAGTTAACTATTCACATACTGAATATCTATTAATTTTGATGCGTGTTGACATCAGTTTCATTAGAAAATGAACACATCTCGATTTTTGGCATACTTTTAAAATCAGGTGTTTCGTATTAATTACAATTATCCTATCAATGAAAAACTTTACTTTTATATGACTTTTAACTATTAGAATCCATAAGTACGTGTACATCAACTCAACGATTGTATGCACGGAATACAACTGCTTCTTCATGTACGTAAATACATAAACCGAAGGAGGTGGTTGCCCAGAGAACGTACATAAGTAGATATGCGTGACGAAAAGCGTGGAAAGACAAAGCGCGTCTTCGCTAGGTCTTTACCTCAATTGCTCCAAATATTTGTTTATTTACCAGAACATTACGTTGTTGAAAGAGTGACGGTTGTGTTCGACAGTTTGTCAATTACATTTTGTGAATCATGTTGACTTTATTACCAACTCACCTTAATACGTGTGATGTGTAAGTACTTTAGTATTAAACCAAATTTTTTAATGTAACAATAATAAAACTATTAGTAAAAAATATAATTAACGAATACATAATCGCAATGGGCGTATTTAAATTATCACATATTCAACATATTAATACACATATTAATTAGATGTAGGAACGTTCTATAAATTCATGCAACTTTTTATAGTATATTTAAAGTTGACGTTTAATAAAGATATAATTAAACAGAAAGTAATTTAAGAAGCTTTTCTATTTTAACAACAAGTTTTTAAAATGTTAGTACATGTTTCATAGAAATATGAAACAAACACACAAACTTACAGCATTTTTTTGCAATAGTTCCAATATCCAGATTTATAAAAGTGTAAAACTAAATCTGATAAGAATTGACAATTTTTTAATTAGAAATATACACATTTGAATACATTGCAGAAATGCTCGATTAAAAATTGAATACTACCATGATCTTCAAAGGTAGATTTTTATGCAAACTGTAATATTGCTAAATCAGTACACATTTTTTACGAAAAAGGTTTATAAAGATAAATTTTTCTTTTTCTGACGACAAGAAGTTTCCTAATGCAAAGTTAGAATCTTATATATACTGATATCATATCTAGTCAGTAATGTATAATAGCAGAATCTAATCGATTCTTTGATAAAGCATTCGGATAATATATACTAGGTTGCTTAAATATTTTAAATTGTTGGATTTAACGGTGCTAGAGTGCGATATATATGTCACTTACAAATATAATCCATTATAACTATATAAAAACGTTTCTTGTAAAAAATTATTCGGTAGAGTTATTATGTTATAATGTTATGTTAAATGTTAATGTTATGTTAAAATGTTATAAAGATACCAACAAGTTTAAACAATCTTGAGAGTGACCGAGACATCTACAGTGCAACAATTTTTACAAATGTTTTGTAATTTATTTTTAAAATTAAAAATTCTGACGTAAAATGTAATAACATGCGTAATAAAATAAATGGTTTGCATCAAAAGCATTAAAGAAATCTGTTAATTAAAGAAAAACTGTTAATTATTACCAAAGAGTACGATATATAAATTTTCTATATAATATATAAAACTTTTTATGGCAAACATTATCTAATACTTGAAAACGTTTGCATTCTCAAAAGATTAATTATATCACAGGAAAATGTTTAATTACCACTTTGAATGTTAAATATTTACGTTCATATAAAGAATGTTTACACAACTTATAGAACATTGGAAAACTGTAAAATTTTGAATCTTTTTTGCACGTGCACCAAAGGTAATAGTTATCTTAAAATTTTATATAACAAAAAATTAGTAATTGAAACTTGTTTATTATTACAGTTGAAGATGTTAATTGCGAAATTTAAAGAAAATTTTTAAGAAAATTGCACGATAAAAAAATTGAATATCTTTATTGCAAATAACAGTTATAAATGATCTGAAGTTTTTTTCAGCCTAATAGTTATCGATCAGAAATATTATATTATGATTACTCATACTATTATTGTAGAAGTATTGTTTTGCTTTCGACCAAAGCAATAGAATTTTCCAAATTCATATCGAAACAATAAAGAAAAGGGACAACAGGTAAACGCAAATATCTTGTTTATGTCGATAAACTAAGCCACAAAACTAAGCTACAAAATGTTAAACATATATATATATATAGGGAATAAAATATAAAATAAGAAATTTTGCCACATACATTACTATAATACTAATAAGTTTGAATAAAAAAATAATATTTATTAATATTAATTACATAATTTAATAATATTGATTACATAATTTCTATTGTAATGTATTGCGAACACAGCACATTATTATTGATGTAGAGAAGAAAAACAAATAATAAAACAGAACAAATAATGAAATTTATTTAATTTTCCTGTTTCATTTTTAACTAAATCATATTTGACTGTAAAAGTACTTTTATATTATTATTTGCTCCTGAAAAAAATACAAATGAAAAATTAAAAATTTTGATTCTATTTATAATAAAACAAACGATTTTAGAAATCTCAATGTATATGAATTCTAATCAATATAGATTATTTTAATGAAGAATATAAATGATTCTAATGAATAACGCCATATTCGGGTTTAGTCAGAAATCAGTTTTGCGCGTCATATTTAGAGTGGAATTCAATGATTATGAAATTCAGAGAAGAAAAGACCTTGAAAAACATGATGGCCGTGATCTTTGAAGCACTTCAGTCAACGATTCGTGAACTGTGATAAAATATTTATAAATGAATATAGCTATTAAGAAATTGAATACACCTACAGAGATTAACATTTCTAATTACTACAAAGAGGACATTGAAACAAAGCAGAATCTTAAATAATTAATAAAAGTTGTAATAGAACCCTACATACTTTTACCGGTCCAGTTACAAAACCGAAACAAATTTATATAATCAAATATATGTATAGTTTGCGGCAATCTGGAAAGTACAACATAACGTTTTCGATACATGTAAATTCATAATACAGTTATGCATGGTTATGCAAGAATATTTACTGATATTTAAATTACTACAAGATGCGTAATAAAAATTGTGAACGTGACAAGGTTTTAGAGAAATAATTATAACTTAATGTTTTTCATTCCGATGTGGAAAATGAAAGTCACGCAAAAAGTATAGAGACACAGTCACTCATAAAAGTATCTACCTACTTACATATATTGTATAATTAATGAATATTAAGGTTGGAGTTAATCGGTATGATTCATATTATAACCCTTGATTTATATACTTTAAACTTGACTATATTCAATTAAAAAATGATATATGCAATATATTAAAAAAATATTACTTTATTTGGTAAAATATATCATATATGTATATGGATAAGTGGATTTTTTTGTGAGCGATTGTATCTACATATATAACTTATAAAAGTTGACAAGTCGTTCTCTTCTTGCACAAAATCGAAACAGATGTTAAGTTTTCTTTGTAGATCCGACTAATTTTGTACACAGAATAGTACGGTGCAGTACGTGATTATTATGAGAAGGATTCTTCAAAATAGTCGTGAGAATATTATCGCGTTTCATTTCAAAATTTTGCGTTTAGTATGTATAGATGGCATTATGAATGCATATAAATATGTTGATACTATAAATGAAAGTTTAAAGGAATCAATTTTAAGAATTGGCCTCAAATGAAAAATGGACGCTACAACAAGATAACGATTCAAAACATACCGCTAAGAAAATAAAGCAATTTTTTCAAAACTGTAAAATAAAGGTTCTGGAATGACCTCCACAAAACCCAAACCATAATGTGATAGAAAATTTGTGGAGTATATTAGATGCAGAAAGTCTTTTAGAAAAATTTAATAATAAACAAATCCTTTTAAAAGAACTACAACTGAAAGTTCAACAAATTGACAAAAACTACTTAGAAAAGCTTATTAAAAGCATATCATGACGGTTAAAGACCGTTATAAAAGCCAAAGGTTCCAATACCAGATACTAATTACCGAGTCTTTATGTATGTATAAAGTGTCCACTTAATTTTGTCTACATGCAATTTCGCGTGGTTTTGTATAAATGATACAAGTTCTAATATGTTTTTGCATTATATTTGAATTTTAATGTTTTCCGGTTTGTTTTTTATATTATATTTTGTTAACTTCTGTGTTCAATGAAATTTAGATCACGAGTTCAAATAAATTAGGTTTTCGTCGCTTACTGGATGTGTCCACTTAACTTTGTTCACGACTATAAATATTCGTAATCTTATAATTATTTTATATGGTTTCTTTAATAATTATACTTGTCGATGAAATATTTGGAACATAAAGAGTTGTTACATCAACCGCATTTAATTACCATTACATCAGATTCATATTTAAATATTTTATATTCGAGTTATGCTTATAAAAATATGAACCAAATTAACTTTGATACATTATTGCGAACGATAGTAGTGGCACGAATGTGACGAGTGATCCATTTCGAGCGCAAAACGTAGAATTTTTGTATAAAAGATGAAGCAACACGTACATTATTGTTTTTCCAATAAAAAATAAAGTATGTCTTATTATATACATAGTCGTTGTGATTTTTAAAACGAACATAGATAAGATAATTTTTTATACATATTAAAACATTTTTTGTTTTCTGTCGCATTTGTGTTTAATAAATTAAAAACCATTCAATTTTCGTTTAAAACAATTTTTTATCTGTAATCGTTTTCGAAATAGCTCTCAAACAGTCGAACTTTAGAGAATAGCTTCACCATTTAAACTTAAATTATTGCACCTAACAAAAATATGAACAGTTCGCAGCGCTCCTTTGATAATAAAAAAACAATTAGATAATATATATATAAATATAAATTAACTGGATTTTTAAACTGTTAAGTTTCTATTTATATTTCAGGTTGCAAACTGTTACCTATTATAGTATTGCATTAATAGGAGGCCTCACTGTCTTGGCATTTATTGTCTCTTGTGAAAGAGTAAGATATCATATCAAATTTTCCTTCTTTATTGCAATTCTTGGTACACTACCGTCTTTATATATACCGTTTATGTTGCTAAGAGTGAAAGACTGGAGAAATGCAATGTAAGTTTAAAATTCACAGAACAAATTCGACTAAAGTTAAAATGTTCCATATATTTATGTAATAGCATATTCGCAAACATTTTTCAGTCCAGTCGTATGGACTATAAAATTATGTGCGAAATTAATGGGAGTAACATTTCATATACGCGGAAAAGAAAACCTTGTTCAAGATTCTGGCAGTATTATTTTAATCAACCATCAGAGTATATTAGACATAGCTGGTAAATATACAACACATATGGATCTAGGTTGAACAGATATAATAATTTCTTTATTTCAAAAAATAAATATATTATACAGATTATGATCAAAATTAAAATTGTAGTTGTATCTGATCTGTGGTTAATGAATAGAAGATGTGCTGTTATTGCCAAGAAAGAGATACTATTTTTTGGATCATTTGGCATTGCAGCCTGGCTTTGGGGAACTATTTTTATTAGTAGACAGAAAAGCAAGGAAGCTCATAACATTATGAATAATACAGCACAAATTATAAAAGATACAAAGGTAATACAAAGTAAAGATATTTACAAATATTTACGATAATCAATTGATTATTAGTTTTAAAAATTTTATAGACAAACCTTTTCATATTTCCGGAGGGCTCTCGACATTCAAATCCCAAGTTGTTACCTTTTAAAAAAGGAGCTTTTCATATTGCAATCGCAACGCAGTTCCCAATTCAACCAGTAGTGGTTTCTAAATACTATTTTTTGAATTCTAAATGGAAAATATTTAATTCAGGTTTGGAAATCAGGTTTGTTTTTATTTAAATATGAAGTAAACAAGACTGTTTTATTTAATGTTTTATATTATTTTTTAGGTATAAGTTGCGTTACGATTTTACCTCCCATTCCTACTGAAGGTTTAAACAAGGACGATCTTCCACTATTAGTGGAAAAAGTATATGAATGTATGAACAGTGAATTTATTAAAACGTCGCAGGAAATTCTAGGCGAACACATAAATTCTTTTAAAGCTAATTAATACTATAAATAGGTAAAATGTTTAGAGTAAAGAATTTAAATAATTCTTAATAGGTATGTAAAAATACATCAACAAATACCCATACCAAATTATATATAGGTATATAAATAAGCGCGAATTAAAACATTTTTGTAAAATAAATTAATGAAATTGTTGATGTAGCTGTACCTACTCTACATAGTTTCATACAACGGATTCTTATATTTTTCAGAATTCAGTGCCAATAACTTTGTATTTGCATCAATTCTAGAAATACTTTGCACTCTTTGATGATACTTATTGTTAGTAGATTCGTACCTCACACAGAATGAACAATTGCAGATTATGTATATCATAGGATACAATTCAACAACAAAATTGTGTACATAAGTGGATACTATGATCAATAATATATTATTGTTAACTCTAATACTCATTTTAATGCTGACACTGTTAGCTCTAATAAATTTTGATGATTTCGAAATATGCTTCGTTTGTCCAATCTTTACCTGCCCGACTCGAATTCGAAATGTTGAGTACTTGCATATCTGTAATTATCTATATACATGTATACAAAGGTGTTCAAAGTGTAAGATAATTGATGTTCTCATACAAACAGGATTTTATTGTCACAAAAAATAATATAACAAACGTCTGAATACAGGAAAGAAAAACTAAGTACACACTCCCTTTCGTTCTCACTCTTTATGTATCTCATGTACAATTCGCCCGTACAAAATCGACTATTTCTGCAATCTATCTTGTTTTCCGAGGCCAACCACGGTCAGTTACGGGTCAATCAACAAAAATATAATTTTTATGCAAAAGAAGATCGCGCTCATATGCATCTAGAACCGGGCGTACATTGATTTCCACGCACACCTGCATACTTATACATTCCAAGCAACTTGCCCCTTAAAGCTGCATGTATACATACTCCAGGAAATAGCTAGCACCTGACAGTTGAATACATGCTTACATGCTCCAAGCATCTAGCTTAAGTAGTTTACTTAAAAAAGATTTTTTGTTTCAAATATAAAAAGTTAAATAAGAACAGTGCATGGCTTTTTGCTGGAATTTATTATATTAATTTTTATTTATTATATTAAATTTTTTCATGACCAATATTTACTCAAATGAAATAAAAAAATTTGTAATAAACTGAAAGTAACATTTCAATCTATATGTATATCAAATTATAAAGTAGTTTACACGTAAATTTTATTAGAAGCCCATTAATACAGTGCTGGCAGTAACAGGTACTTGCGAAGGCGCACTTGCTTGTCTTACACTCATTTCCCATGTATCTAATAGCTGTGATACAGAAAAGCGGCGAGGAAGTTTCGTAATACGTGCATTCAAAGCCTTCTGCACAGCACAAAGAAATGTTGTAGCATATTCGTGAGATGCCATCACGCAACGCGGTGGTGTTAAAGGATAATCTGCGGGAACCGTAACTGATACTGGTGGTACACATGGAAGATGACGATCATCCAACCAACATATTAACTGAATACATTTGGATCCTGTTTGTTGCGCAGGGTCAAGGCTGACCTACAAACATTCACAAAAGGGTGATATAAATATATTTAGATTACAAAGTGTAACACCAACGTAATTAGACTACCTTAAATCGTTGATCCAATCGAGCTATTTCACCTTGCAATACATCTGGTATTTCACTAGGGGATTCTTCTATTTTTTGTTTCTTTAGTGGTGGTGGTAGATTTCTATTTTCACGAAAATAATTTTGTTAGTAGTATTTTAAAACAAAATTATTCATAACACAGTTTTAAATATTACATACTTTATTTCTGGACCAAATAATGCTTCTAGACATGGACCAAAGGTTCGTTGTAACGTATGATTTACCACTGGACTTTGAAGATGTGTGCTTACTGCTTCCAAAAGTGGACTAAAGAAATGATGTTCTTTAAGCGTTGTTACAGGAGGACCAACACTTGCATCGCTTCGCTTAAAGTCAACTTTTTCAAGGACTGCCTCACATTTTAATAATGTGTCCATTGGCATGCGTTTGCTGGGATTTGATAAAATTTCCAAAAGCTTTTTCATCTTACTTAATTTATCGACATCTGCAAAATACATGTATTGTGTAATAATATATATGCAAAGATTGATATTTTCGTATTATCAGTGGAATATGCGTATTACTTACTTCCTTCATTGCCCATTTTAGCAATCATTCTTCGTAAAGGATCAATATATTTACTCAATTGTCTAACTTTATCTCTGTATGCTTGGTCTTCTTGTTGTGGACTTGGAGTAGCACCCACACCTCCAGGAGTGTTCAAAGAACTGCTAGGTGATGGTGCCATACCTATATGAATATATATTATGCATTAATTTTACTCGTAATTGTTTGTATTTACGATGTTTTTAAATTAACAAATTAATAAAAACTGATTTTAACATACCAACAGATCGTTGTGGACCTGCCATTATAGCATGTTGTGGACTTGGTGATGGAACTAATGCTGGAGATGCTACCATCTGATTACTAAAACACATATATTTTAATGTTGCATGTTCTAAACATGTATATATCTATTTATATATTCATAAAGTGTAAATGACCTTGATGGTGCACCTAAACCAGCTGGACTTGGAGCTGATGGGGATGGACTTTGTCGTAAAAACTGATTTGCTGCAACATTTCTAGGGCCTGGATATCCAGTATTTATCATTTCACCAGGCTAAAAGTAATGAATACACATAAATGACTCGAAATGATTATATTATAAAGTAATTACATTTAACTAGTTTGTAAAGTTTAATTTTCTAGAAGACATTAACCCTTCCAGAGTTTACTGCAGTAAGAGAGTATTTTTCTTACAAGAATCACTTTGTTTCAATTTGCAATAAAATTTTTATAAAATATCTTTCAATATCATTAAAATTTCTATAAAATATTTTGGAAGTCTATATGATATGCAGACTACGTATTATAATAGAATTCACAATCTCATAATGTACAGAATAAACACCAAAATAGCTAATATTAGTTTGTGTAATGGGAACTTCAAAGAGACAATTCTAACAAATGAAGATATATAATATGAAACTTATACATTATTTATATCATAATAAATCCTTATGGACGTAGCAGAAGAATTCAAATAAAATCGATAAACGTTCTGCTTTAAACTTTCATAAAAATTTAATTTGTAAAAAGTAGAATAATATACATTAAAACTTTTTAAATTATTAGTATATTATGAATATACTTTAATTTTGAAGTAATATTACCATAAAATAAAAGCAAGATATACAGGGTGTTACCTTTAACGCGACGCACGATGTTTCACCGACTTGCAGCAATCTTACGAAAAAAAAGGTTTCAGACAGGAGTTACAGAGTATGGATTGTATAATAGATATCAGTAAAAGAAATTTCGAAAGCAGTTTGTTTTCATGTCGAAACCAAGGTCACCTTGTGTTTTGCAAATAGGAACACATATTTTTTTTACCATATTATAGAGGACATCGAGACGAATTCAAAACACATATTATATGATATTTTTACGTTATTTGACACTGAAGAAGTCACATTGTAATAAACGATTACTTTGCACCAAATATTGGAAGTACGTTCTTGCGTAATAACAAAGACTAAAAAAGGAACCGCAACGACGAATTATCATTTTCGTCCAAGCAATATTCTGTGCTGACCACTTCGGTGTCATATAATGTTTACAGTGTTTTCAGGTCAAATACGACGGAAAGCTAAATATTTCACTTTTCCACTATGTAAAAAAAATATGTGTTCCAATTTGCAAAACACAAGGTGATCTTGATTTCAATATGAAAACAAACTGTTTTTGAAATTTTTTTTACTGATATCTATTATACAGTCCATACCCTGCAACTCTTGTTTTAAACCTTTTTTTTCGTAACATTACTGCAAGTGGGTGAAACATCGTGCGTAGTGTTAGAGGTAACATCCTGTGGACATGAGCTGAGCATTGTAGTAAATTTTTTGTTCTCTTTTAGTTCCCATAGGTACTTTAATATATATCAGATATATTTTGTATAGTAATTACTCTTTTCAGTTTTTTACATCATCAATTAATTAATCCTTCGTTTAATTACCTTCCTCTGCATGTGATTTAATTGTTGTTGCATTTGACCAGGACCTAACTGCCCTGGCGCAATTTGATTCATTTGTTGAGACATACTAGTTTGAATTCCACTTATAGATGCACCAATTTGATTACTAATTTGATTGGATAACTGATTTTGCATTTGTGTCTAAAAAAAAACTTTGTTACTTGTTTGTACAATTACTGCAAAAAATAAATTATACAAGATATTTTATAATTTGTAGGACCTACTTCAGCAATGTAAATTGTAATCACTTTTAGCCTTTCCCAATGGTTAACCCTTTAACTACGGTTGTCGTCAATAGACGACGGTACAAAATTTTCGTAAGATACGGCCGTCGTTAATAAGCGATTTGATAAATTATGCCGGAAACGGGGGTCACTTATTGACTTTTATTTATTTTATCGAGATTACGTCAATGAAACAAGTGCGTAGAGTGTTTATGTTTATGTCTTATGTACATAAATCATCACATATAGATAAGAAATGAATGTATCAGCATTTGTACAACTTTTTTTTTGTTTTGCGTTTAGACAGACACATTTGTGAATATATACCAGTAGGTAAAGGGTTAATAATAAACTAAGATAATATACAAATTCTACTAAACTATTATTAAATGGTATAAGTAACAGAAATTTAGAAAGATCATATTGAGCGAATGAAAATGCATATGTATATTGGGTGTCTTGTAATTGGTGGCATAAGAGAGCACGGAGAGATTCTATGTGAAAAACTGAATCCAAAATGTAGAATAAAATTTTGTCATATTGTAAGGATTTTTTTAATTTTAAATGGACGCGGTTACATTAGCATTCGGCATTTCATAATTGACTGATGCCACGGAATTGCCGCTCGTTCTTTTATCACTTCCGAACCGGAAGCTGATTCAACTGAACCTTCTTGAACATTCTCCTCCATTCCAGACCTTTTTCGCAATATCCCTTTTTGACAGTTTCCTATTCGAACTTACCGCTCTCGAGCGTCAATACAGCACGTCGTGATCATTAGTCATCTTCACTCTATTCATACTTGCCATCTTCTCACTACGTTCACACCTGCCTTCTTACAATATGAAGCTTTGTTTTCGAGCAAAATAAGTTTCAAAATTTAAAGGTTCATATGGAAATATATTATTATAAATTTTTTATTCAGTTTTTCATGTAGAATCACCTCCTGTTCGTTTGTACCACCAGTTACAGGACACCCTGTATATATGTATATGCAGAAATTATTATATACAAATAGATGTTATTTCAAGCAATGTATTAGAGATATTAATTTATTTCATATAACTTCCTTTTAAATTGTCTTTGAATCTTTCATTTATTGCTAAAGTAAGTTCCTTTTATACACATATAAAATAACATAGTATCTACATACTTGCATATTTTGTTGCATTTGTCCAGTAGTAATTGGTCCCATTTGATTGGGAACAACTTGATTCATTTGTTGGGGCATGTTTCCTTGCGCCATTGGATTCATTTGTGTCAACATTGAATTATTCTGCATAGTTTGAATTGGACCCATGTGGTTCATTGGACCACTAGTTTGAGCAGACATCATACCTATACCTGGCATTTTATTCTGCATACTTTGCATGGTCATAGGTTGTCCAGGACGTTGATTTAAGCTTTGCAATACTGAAAAAAATAAATAATACAAAAGAAATTGTTATAAATAAATTTATAATCGCATTCTTTTAAAACTTATTTACCACAAAATTTATATATGTTTAAAAATTGTAACTTTATGTTTATGTGTATAAACTAATGAATCCATTAAATTTATTAGTAAAACATATATTATGTATTTATGTATGACAGAAAATAAATAATACATAAAGGACACATAAAATTTACTTATAAACTGTATTATATATTTTATCTTCATTCTTTTAATACAACATTTATGGATTTGGTGTAAGTCATATGAAATATAAAATAATTATTATTTTATTAGTTGAAATTCTTTATAGGTGCTTAAATTTAACAACCTTAATGACACAATTCTTGTAATCAGCAAGCACTTTTATATGACTTAAATATTTAATACTGATAGTATTAAATATTAAAACAAATGTTGTAACATTATATAAATAATATAACAATATATATTGTGGATACATTAATGCTTTGTAAATAGGCATCATTTTCCATATTTTTGACTGTATAACAGACAAATTCAATTATTGTGCATATGTAATAACTTAATAATTTACGAATATTATTTATTTGAAGGAACTTAATATTGTAAATAAAAGATTGTCTAATGATATATAAATTTAATTGCTACTTTCATCAAAGAAGACTAACATCTGCGAAATATTAATAAGAAAATAAATAATCTTTATTACTGTACAGACTGAGAGAAATATATTATATATTAGTTTTCCTGTTTATTAAACTAAATAGTAAAATAATTTCATTCGAAGATAGTTTTACATATTTAAAAATGAAATAATATATGTAACTTTATTGTTGTATAAACTTACAATTTGTAGCTGTATTTGCAGGTTGTTGGGGTATTATTCCCTGAGGATTTGGTCCTGGTCCGCTAATATTCATCATTTGATTATTACCAGTTCCTTGACGTGCCAACGTTTGTAATGCTCCAATTGGATCTGGCATTCCTTGATTTCCTGAACCAGCCGTACCTGGTGGAGTAGCTCCAGCTTTTTTAGAATCTAAATAAAATAGTAACATATACTAAATAAACTTAGCTGATAACATTTAAATTGTATGTATGTATATATATAAATATTCATATACACATAATTTTATATATATATATATATATATATATATATTACTTAGTTCTCTGACATGTAGGATTAGTCTGGCTACGAAACTTAAGTATTCTTCCTGCAATAAAAAGATTTCATCATTTGCATTTAATTTAATGTTTTAAATATAAGAATAAAAGTAATATTTTAATATTTATTACTATGTAGGAAGAATTATAAAAACTTGTGTCCATAAAATTAAATATAATGTTAATATACCAATATACATATAAAGAAAAATAAAAATGATAACAAACCCTGGTTTTTGCCTTTTGAAAAACATGATTTTCCATATCAATACTATTTCTGGTAATGGGCATTCCAGATGACTGTACAGCTTCATCTCTGTGTAGAAAATATTCACTAAATAGAATTTTATTAGTTTATTTATTTACGCACACGAATATATTTTTTTATATTTTGTAGAAAAATTATACATTGCATGATTTTTTGCCGTTTTATTCTTTATTGTACACTTTCGAATCATGTTAATAAAAATATTTCACTGTTTAAGATTTTTAAATGTAAATCAACTTACATTTTCGCTATTACACTTTGACGAAAATTTTGCGTTCTCCAAGAATTTTCGTCTGTTGCCATTTTTGCTATTTAATAATTAACTAAACAATTAACACGATCACCCAACTTTCTTTTACCGAAACAACTTAACGACTAAACGTCTATATAGTAAACTATAAGTCCGCTTTTCGAAGCATAGTTTTGGAACATAAAGGCATTTGTAAATGGCCTCTATAATCACGTTTCTATGAGTCCGATAGGCACACTATTTCGTTTATATAGCTGCGTAGATATTGTTTATAGCACAATAAACGTTACAAATAATTACACTGTTGAACATACTCCATAAAAACGTGAAAAAGAAACTTATAATGATAAGAACATTGAATTAATTAATTATATTTATTTTAAAAAACATGACTACACTACAAGGGACAGTCAATAATTCTTAGATATTCGGCTTAAGTCAAGAGTAGAAAATTTAAGTTTACCTCGAAGGTGTCTAACTTACTCCCCTTACGCTAGTAACTCAGAACAGTGTTCCCCACTACCTCTATTCAAAGAGCTACCCGAGATTGTGTACCTGTTACCTGTTAGTATATGAGCAGTTCTATATAGTGTTCAATCCAGATAACAGTAAGTATGGAGAGGGTAACTTCTGGTGAGGGGAGTATCACTAGAGTGCCCGCGGATACCGATTTAACATCTTTGCTTTACCTAATATCGCATCAAAACGGAAAATTGATTCATGAAAATGCTGTGGTACTATTCGCTGATCATCATGCCTGATATTCTTCTTCTTAACCTTAAAATAAATGTGTACGTTTTAAATAACTTCTAAATTCAAAATGGCAGAGTTAATGTTAACACAGGAAGATTTAATACAGAAACATAAAAAAGAACGAAAAGAATTGCAAGGTAATTAAATTAAACAATTATTGATTCTTACACTTTCGATTTAATTTACGTTATGTCATTTCAAATGTTACTTTTACTGTGAGTTTCTGTTATTAGTATTTTATTACATTAGTAATATGAACTTACTTAGCGATGCCATTTTAAATCTCAGCGCAAATACAAAATTTGAAAAAGTCTATTTGTAAGGGTGATAAGAAAAAAAAGAAGGAAGTCACTGAAGAAATCAATCACCTGGAAGAAACTTTAGAGAAAAAACAAGAAGAGGAACTGACTGGATGGAAAGTTGCACACTTTAATATTAATAATACAGAAGATGAAAATGCAGAAAATAATAGTAATAAAGAAACAGATGACAAACATAATGAACAACCAATGCACCGAATTTCAAAAGCACAAAAAAGAAGGGATAAAAAGGCAAATGCAGAAAAAGAACGTAATCAAAGAATCATAGAGCAGGAAGCTTTAAATGTATTTGGTAAAAGAAATATGGAATTACAAACCATAAAAAAAATTCTGTATGAACGTGGTCTAACGATTTATGAAATTCCAAGCGATGGTCATTGGTAATATATTTATTTATAATCTATTTCTGTTTTATTAATTATAAACATTTATGATTTTTATATTATAAATTTTTTACAGTTTGTATAATGCTGTTGCGCATCAACTGAAAATTGTAGGAGAGGTTCCATTAAATTTTCGTGAATTAAGATCAAAAACTGCTACATATTTAAGGGAAAATATGAATGAATTTTTGCCATTCATTTCTAACCCAAATTCTGATGATTTTCTGTCACCAGAACAATATGAGAAATATTGCAACGATGTGGCTGACACGAGTGCTTGGGGCGGTGCAGTTGAGGTTGGTTAAAATTAATATCTGAATGTATACATACACATAATATAATTCTTAAGAGTAATAGTTATATAATTACTTTTATTTAATGTAGTTACAAGTTCTTTCACATATATTTAAATGTCCAATTGAAGTCATTCAAGCATCAGGTGTACCATATATTATTGGAGATGATTACAATAATGACAAAAAGATGATATTGACTTATCATCGCCATATGTATGAACTAGGTGCACATTATAATTCTGTTACAAAATATGTTCAAGAAGAAGAAAGTTGATGAAGACAAATAGCTTTCTTCTGTACTTCCTGTAATGAGAAAATGAAGTATCTCATTTCTTAATACATTTTACCAAGATAAAATAAATGAACCATTAAAAGAGCTGCCACAATTCAAGAGTCCAGGAAACATATCAAATTTAAATTAATATTTCAACGTTTCTCTGGTAACTCATCTATTGATTACTATTTAAAAATTAATATAAACTGTTACAGTAAATGGTATTTATTAAGGTAACACAATATAATAGGTCTTCCTTTAAGTTCTTTTTGTACATGGTTATAAGATTCTTGAAAGAATTCTATTTATTTATTACTTAAATGTTTGACAATATAAAGAAGCTGCCAGTGAATTGCAAGTACGCATGGTTTAGTACTTGCTTATTCCAAAGTTGTACTGTAAATATCTATTAATTTTTAATTATGATTTACATATTTTATAATAAATGTTTAATTTTACACTGAACTTTAATAAATATTTTAAGAAAACTTACTACAGCTGAAATGTTAAAATTACGTGTGTGAATATGTATTAATACTTTTCATGTGTGTTCTTACTAGATTTATACTATTTTGATGGTGATTAATATATACAAAGTATGAAATAAAGACTGTGAAACATAAAAGAGACTAAATTTTAGAAGTATAATTTATTTATTTTTTAAAATTCATATTCATTAGTAAAAGACATACATAAATTTAGACCACAAGTATAAGATCTTGTTTTATTTGTCTATGTTACTTTTGTTATTTTCATTTGTTTTATCATCTTCAGGAATACCTTTATTCTTATTTGGGTCATCTGGTTTCATTTGTGGAAATAGCAATACTTCCTGAAATTAGATTGTAGATTTATTATTACTAATCTTTTCACTCTTATTCGGTATATAGAAATAATTACCTTGATATTATTAGAATCCGTCAAGAACATAGTTAATCGGTCAATGCCTATTCCCCAACCAGCAGTTGGTGGCAAACCATATTCTAAGGCAGTACAAAAGTTTTCATCAACTAATTGTGCTTCATCATCTCCAGCTGCTTTATCTTTGGCTTGTTGTTCAAATCTGTATAGATATAAAAGAAGTTGCATTAATTTCAAAAATCGAAGTAAAGTTAATAAAAATTACTTACTTAAATGACAAAAGTATTAGCAGTACCTTTCTCTTTGCACTATAGGGTCATTTAATTCTGTATACGCATTACAGATTTCTTTCTTCATAATAAACAATTCAAATCGTTCTGTAAGACCCTTCTCGGAACGATGCCACTTGGCTAGAGGAGACATGATTTGAGGATGATCTAAGATGAATGTGGGGTTGATACAAGTTTCCTCTATTAATTCACCAACGAGCTGTTACAAATATACACGTTTAGTAAATATATTAATCCAAAATTTTTAAGCTAAATACATACTTTATCTAACAATCTAGCAGTTGTCCTAGGTGCAGGACATTCAATTTCATGTTTGTTACAAAGTTCACTAAGCATCTGATTTGCTTCTGGAGTATTCAATTCTTCTGCAGGAGGTAACTTAACCTTTAAAGCATTTTCCAGAGTCTTAATCATAGAAATACGCTTAAAAGGTGGAGTAAAATCGATTTCCACTGATTCTCCCTCTCGTCCATCTGGATGGTATGTTATTTTATAACTGCCATGTATGGTTTTTACTATCCCAGATATCATATCTTCTGTAATGGACATTAGATCATTATAATCTGCATATGCCATATAAAATTCACAAGTAGTAAATTCTGGATTATGTGTTAAATCTATTCCTTCATTTCTGAATTGTCTTCCAATTTCATACACTCTATCCAATCCACCAACAACTAACATCTAAAAGTGTAAATGATATCTCATTAATATAGATCTAATGTGTAATAACTGATCATGATTATATATAAATATTTATTACCTTAAGATATAGTTCTGGAGCAATGCGCATATATAAATCCATATTTAATTCATTGTGATGTGTAACAAATGGTTTAGCTGTAGCTCCACCAGCAATCATATTCATCATTGGTGTTTCAACTTCCAAAAATCCAAGCTCGTCAAGAAATTTACGAATATATGCAACAATTTTTGCTCGCACAAGGAATGTTTTCCTTACTTTATCATTTAATATCAGATCTAAATATCGCTGTCGAAACCTTGTCTCCTAATCAATTAGATATTAAGTTATTATTACTTTTGATTTGTACATAATCTTAAATAAAATTTAGTGACTCATTTATACCTTATCTTTCAATCCAAAGTAAAGGTTTGGTAACATGTGTAGGCAAGGACTTAAAAGTGTAATAGTGTATGGCACTATGGAAAGTTCACCTTTTTTGGTTTTTCCAGGATTGCCAATTATACCAATGATATCACCTCTTCTAATTTTAGAAATATCAGTTACAAATTTGTCTCGATCAGCATAATGCTTTGCATTAGCCATGACTTGTACTTTAACACCTTCTCCTCTAAGGTCAAAGAAAATAAGTTTAGCACCAGCTTCTCTAATTGCATGTACGCGACCAGCAATGCTATGTATTTCACTTTCTATTATTTCTCCTTCCTTTATGTTATCGCTAAACTTTTCAACAAAAGTTTCCAGTGATACTGATACATGAAATTTGTGTGGATATGGATCATCGTTATTACTTTTAAGTTGGTTAATTGCATTGACTCTAAGTCTAACGTACTCCTATAAAATAAACAGTATAATTTTAATTTAAAGTAAGAATATTATGAGTATTTGATAAGTTTTATTCTAAAATATAATCATTTACGTGTGGGCTAATTTCTTCTTCCTTAATATCATTTTCCAAAACTTTAGGTTTGCCTTCTGTTGCTGCTACAGTATTTGCATTTCGTTTTTTTTCTGCTTGTTCTTTTAATTTCTGTAGCGCCTTTAATTGCCTTTTTTGTTCACTGCAATCATGATAGAAATATGGAAATAGTTTCGTATTCCACTCAAACAACTATAATCCCACTTAAGTTGTACCCACTTCACGTAAAAACGACCTGCATTTATCTGATGCAATTTTGTTGATTTTAAGAGTATTGGCTGTACCACATCAACAACAGTTTTGGTTATGTTACGCAGCATAGTTAATCAAGAATAATGTTTTTATTACGTCAGCTAGTAATGTACTTAAATTATTTATAATTAGTTATAATCATATTTTTATAAGAATTTTTTATTTTACATTTGAAGAAATCTATATAAACGCAGGCAATTGTCCATGAAACAACGTGGATGGTGAGAGCACATCAGTTATTGTCCTACGTAGGTTATGTTAAAACTATAGACATAGATAAGAGATAATTTGATATAGATTTAAATAAAATGAACACGTTCATTTGATTTTACTCGCGTAATGTTATTTTACTCACTTTTTCGATATTGTTTTACCCGTTGAGTCCGCCATGTTGGTAAACTTCCGTAGAAAGGATTATTAGGAGTTGGTTGGCAAACCTGCAATGTGAGTACTTTTATGTGCCAAACTATATGATTTCCTTCTCTTTCGCGGGTCATTTTAATTTCACATTAAATAATCGATTTAACAATTCTGTTCAAACATCTTTATTTCTATTATTTTTATTATTATACGTGTATTAAAGTGTATGTAAGAGTAATTATTTCCTTCTAATTTGGTTGTGGTCTTGTAACTGTTGTCATAAACGATAATTAAAATGCGAAACCTTGGCAACCATACCTATTGATATTGTCGAAAACTATCACCTCAGTTAAAGGTGTTTCATAATTTAAAGAAAAATGGATAGTTGCTTTGGAATCCAAGAATTAAAGGCACTCCAAGATTTAATTAATCCACCGCAAAATAACTCAGACAGCGAAGACGATTTACCACAAGCTGGTGCACAAAAATTCGGTAAATTGACAAATATTCAAACTGTATCATTTGTGTATTATCTGATGTATATATGCGATATGTGTATATTGTTACAAAACATATCAAAAATTGGTAAAATTATTTAGAAATATTATTCCACGATACTTATATTTCGTAAAGATATTTTATTCTAGATTTTTGGTACTTCTCTTTATTCACCTTATTATTTGTTTTATTATTCTACTCTAAAATGAACGTTATATATATTTGTTTATGATTAAAGAGAATTAATTAGTATCGGAAGAAGTTAATTGATCGATTGTTAAACATAAGTGTTATATATATACCTGTAGAACTTAAATTTTTCATTAATACGTTTTTAATTTTATTCATTAATTGTTTATTATAATTTATGTATTAATAAGTAAATAACTTATTTATCAATACAATAATTTTACAATTACATCGACAAATCATGCAACGATATATGTATGGTATGCAGATGTAAGGTTATTACAGAAAAACGGACACCTTCAACATTGTGCAAAGAAAGAACTGCTGAAGATATTGAAGTGCACCTTGAACTGGTTCGTAGGAATACTTTTGAGGTTTTATTGCCACTTTTGTGAGAGTTCACGGCGATGAAAATTTTCCAGAGCGTTGAATTGGACGGGCAGGTACTGGCAATTTGTTACTCGCACGTTGAATACCGAAAGTACCGATTTAACAACCCGTATTTTTTACAAGGATAAGTTATGTATAATGTTTTCTATTAAGATTAAAACGATATACCACAATTATTATTGTTGTAATTAATGAAAGTCAGTATTTGTTAAGAATTGAATTATTACATTGATATAGCTAAAATTAATAGTGATAATATTAAAGATCTATAAGTTGTTGTAACAAAATTTCAAGAATATTTCTACGAACCAGATCAAGATGGATTTTAATATTTTTAACAATTTTTGTTTTTAACAAATAAAAATCTTCTATTTCTTTATAGTAATTAATTAACCGAATCTTCAAAGCACTGTAAACCGTTGTAACCCACGGATATAGTTAAATATTAAACAAATTTAAGCAAGTACTTGAAAATTTATATTATCACCATTAACACGTTGAGTCTTTTTGTTCATGCTGTTTTAATATCTTGCAGCAAGAAGAAACGTTAAATCCTTTGTTAATTATACGTTCTTCTTTTAATGTAGCAAATAAATATTTGTGTGATCTTATAAATATTTAATAAATACAGTAACGTATTCCACACATAGAAAATTATATGAATTTAGCGCGGCACTCAATTTTTTAATAAAAATCCTTAATTTTATTCGATTGTAATTATACATAACAGAAATACTTACATTCGCGAAATACTTAACAGAAAAAAAAGATGAAGTTCATTCGGACCTGAAATATGATACTTATATCATAAATAAGTAAATGTTCACAAATAGAATAAATATTATTCATCCATATGTTGCTTATATTCTTTTGTTACTATTATCAATAACGAATTTACGATTTTTAGTAAAAAAATATCTAAATGTGATTGTATTAAAATTATACAAAATCCTAATTAGTATATATTTCAAATTTGGAAAGGTATAAATAGTAATTTCCTTATAAATCGGTCCCGACCTAGTATCCACTTTGTACAGCAGTAAAATTATTCATTTTTCAAGAGTTCAGTGAGTTTTATTTAGGATTATATGAATATGTGTCTAGAAGAAGGACCTGTGTTATATTTCATAAATTTAGAGGACGGCAGAAAAACAAATTATTGATCGCTGTAGCGACTGTACAAACGGTTAATGTAACATAGTCTCTTCTTCCAAATTGAAAAATGAAAACAATAATTCAATAATTAAAATGTAATTTATTATTTTTGAAAAATACAAAATTCAAGTAAATCTTTCCTTTCTCTTTGCGAATGAGCAATAAATTTTCCTACAGAATCGGTAAAACATCAGATTCTGGTATGTCGATTGGAATTTGTAACGTACGTATGTCGGTTTTCCTATATAATCACCAATGTTCATTTTTATTTTAAGCTTAATTTCCGGCACCTGAAGCAATAATCAAAGGACAGAACTTTGTAGAAATGTTCGTTACATCATATTTTGTCCTCTCCTTTCAAAAAACAACTTTTGAAAAATGCGCAACAAAGATCCTTCTTCTAGGCATCCATTCATAAGTCAGTTTTACTTTTCACGTTTCAAGATTTTATGCTAAATTTCATGTTAGATTTCATGCGTATAAAGGAGAGGTAATACGTGTTACGGATAGTAGATGTTTTTAAGGGCCTGGCGATATCGGAACTCAAAATGTGACGTCTGGGCAACATGCCGGGCCGCATGCACCGCTGAAGGGAAAGACTGATGATATTTGGCATTCGTCTGAAGCAGATGCCAGTCAGAATACCGAAACCTATGATCCGAGAGAGGTACCGGAATATGAGATGAAATTTAAGCAGGCGGTTACGGCGGAGGATGTATTCTTGGGTGTTAGTATTACATTGACATGTATCATTGTTACAATCAAATTCGTTTACTGTGTAGGATCATCAAAGTGCTTCCTTCCATCGTGTTTCATTCGATTTTGCCAATTATTGAATTTTTCTATTATAAGATCGTGCCGTGGTGAGTTTATACTTCTCGCATTACGTTTTGTAATCATAAAGTGATACGATGACTTTGGTGACTAAATTGTTATGCTTCAGTTTAGTCGGTAGAAGTTATACGAGAGCGACAGGCTGTGAGGTTATAAGAATTTTATATTTAATGAAATATTATTTTGTATATATATACGGCAGAAAAATAAACGGCACGAACTTATGGGGCGATCTAATATAACGGTTGATCTTCCTGGTCAAATCATTTGATTTCTAGTTATTTTGCAAGTACTTAACGTATTCCGTCATTTGAGTTATTGTACATATATTATGTACGTGTTATAAGTATTATAATCCTTTATTCTTCGAAATAAAGTATTAATGTTACAGATTGTTTAATGTTTCCTTATATTCTTTACAAGAAGTGTTACCAAATTCTTTTGATTTTTGGTTAATAAAATGATCTTGCGGAGAAACTAAGGAACTATCAAGTAATATATATATATATAACATTTAATATAAATTCACTAATAGAGCATACAAAATTTATCTCGGACAAACACTATAGAATTAGTATACAACTTAATATTCCAATACTCTTATGTAAAATATTTAATATCCATATTAACTGATCCTGTTTATTTCATTATTCAATTTAAGCTCCATTAGTCAGCACTAGATACTCTTCTTTTTATTTTTTTGCGTAAATCTGCTTGCGTTTTTGGTGGAGCAAATACATAAATTAATTTTCTTTTATTCCTCTTTATTGATATAACAAGTTTATAGTTTTGTGATTAAAAAGGAAAAAAGACTGAGGAATCTAGGTTAAATGTTATATATTTTACAATGTTTATATAGTGTTAGGGAGGTTATTATAGTAGGTTAGCTAGGATAAGTTAGTTATATAACTATTAATGGAGGTGTGAATGCAGGGGACGAAATATGGAAGTATAGAAAATTGCAAGCCAAAGAAATAAAGATATATAACTTGTACTCTTAGTATATAAACAAATTTGAAGAAATCCATTTTTTTACTCGAAGACCAAAAGATCTCTGTTAGTGTCGGAACTCATCGACTAATCAAATTGTTTGATGGATCGAAGTCTAAGGATGTATATTGAACTTAGGCAAGTCTCTTGTTAGGCCCATAGATTACATTCCATTATAGGAAGGCTAAACGGGCAAGTCCTACCCTTCAGTTCCGATAATCCATTTAGTTAACCCTTTTCGGTCGAAACCTCTCAGGAACGGATATACGCCACAGGACAAGTACTTTGAGATTGTTCAGTGAAATCGGTAAATTTGCTTTAATAGCAATTAAATATTAATAACTTATCGAGAAACATTTCTACAATCAAAAAATTGCTTTAATTAGCATTTCAGAGATTTTATAAAACAAATTTACATAAAATAATGAATATATGCATGTTGGACACTTGCTATGGAAATGTCCTATTTAACATTCCTTTAATTAGAACGGAATTAAAACAAAATATTTAAAATAAAAATTCCTTGTGATCAAAAAGGTCAAACGGATTTTCAAATATTCCAGTACAATCGATAGATTGAAAGGTGACACTGCAATTTATCCTATTAATCGATTTTTTGCTGGAACTATAGTTTAATCGCCTCTATGAGTAGCTTTATTGTGTTAAACCACACAATAAATATAGGGTGACTGATTTTTACGGTTACATTTATGGAAACGGGATTATCTTATGGAAAACAGTATCAAAACGTACTTTACAGTTTAAAGTTATTTTCAAGTGTACTTTTCTTCAATTGTTGTTAAGATACTTGTGCTTACATGTTAATAATAAATATGTATAAAATTAGTATTAACATTGTTCAAGAGTGATTACAAATGTAACTGATGATATAAACCGAAATTAACACTGCTACGAAAAACTTCAGTGTTTTATGTATCACTTATGTTTTGTAGCAAAGATAAAAAAGAACAATTATCAATTATTTAGTATCACAATTTTTACGTTACACTATTATCTAATTGTTCACGCTATTGAACATTTGTATTCGACGTCAGTTATCTTACGAATTGTAACTGTTTTCAAGTAATTTAGAAGCTCCGACCAACAACCCTTAATAGTATTTACAGAATTATTACACATTTTTAAAATTAAATAATAATATTTCATCCGGAAACTTCAGTAGTGACTTTTATTTATATTCAAATCCCGACTCTAGAAGGATCAATCAGGATCTATATTTGAAGCGTTCACATTTAATATTTAAAACCTTTGCGATCTGGAACCTTTCGAGGTTTTACGAAGCCTCTAAATTTGTCCCACCGAGAATGTGTATCTTATTTTCTAAATAAAAATAAGGTGAACCTGATAAACTAATAGTATAAACATTTTACCTGTGTAATTGCATGTTAGGTTGGTATTATGTACACATTTCGCAAGAAAGGTTGCTGCTTATTTGCACAAAATTATCGGCTTTAATCAAACATATTTGTAGCCCGAGATATTTCGATGAATAATTAATGCGCCAATCATTTAATGACTGTACAGATCATAATGATAAAAGGAAAATGTATTTCAGCTGTAGTATTTAAAGTTTGGCCTTGATAATGAATCCGTTCGATTAATACCGTTAGATGGTCGTAAATCATTAGCAATTAAAATGCAATGTCCATGCATGACATATTACAGCATAGAATATTATTCATCGTTTTCTAGTACCTGGTGATAATCTACGGTTTATTAATAATCGGTGGTCGTAATATTACCTTGCTCCTTGGGAATTTCAATTCCGCGTATAACAGCTTTTTCCTCGAACGACAGGCAATTGAACGTTGTTTCTATTCCTTATGAATACATTCATTTCCACGTTAATTTGAATTTGGAGTTCTCAATTTAAAGAACACTCCAGTTCGTATTTTATATTCGAATACTCGCTTTTAACGCGTTTGCGATCAACAGTTTCTGGATCCAGCTATATTTAGGACCATTGTTTAACATTTACAAACTAAAATTATTATTCAAATAATTACAAAAAATAATTGCTGAGTAATTGTACATCAACTGTACATATTAAAATAATAAATAAATATGTAGTGTTGTTTTAATTTTTTATTTGAAAAGACGTTATTAGTATTAATTGTCGATTAATGTTTGCATGCTTTTCCATCGAATTTTCAGATATATTTGGTGAAAAATATCAATTTATTCGGAAAAATAAATAATTACATAACATTTGAGTCACCATACCACATGAATAGTCTGAGATTTGATAGCTTTAACATTTTGATGCCTATGATTGTTTATAATTTTAATAATAATCATGGTTATTCATTTATTTCAATCTTTTATATTACAGGGATTGAAAAGATTTCGGAAATAACTGAAACTGTTATATATTGATTCGATTGTAAGTTTGGAGGATTGTAGTTTTAGAGGACCAAAATAAAGTCATGACTGTTATTCGGTATATCGATTTCGGTTCCGATTCTTCAGAACTGATATTATATCAGTTTTATAACTATTATTTTTCGGTTTTTCAGATCGGTTCTGCATTTCTTTCAGAACCGAAACCTAATAGTTATAGAACTAATAGAGAACAGAAAAATAACAATTATAGAACCAATAATAAATATTAGATATTTGTGTTTTGTCGCTATATTAATATGTTGATTACCATGGCGGTTACAGTTGACTTCCAACCAAATTGAATTGCTATAATTCACTCAATTAAACGACGATTATTTGAAAACATTTCTATATTACAAATAATGCTACCTGATGCGGTGATATTCAGTTAGATGAACATGCAATAATAATAACGCAATTCAAGCAAATGATTGAATATTATGTTTTTTCCATTTTGTGCATTTTGCTCTATAAAATCGTGCGGCATTCAACGTGTTAACGTTGCTGTCCGGATGCGATGCACCCCTTGCACTCTTGCATTAACATGGCCCTGAGAACTGATATAATCTATGATAACAGTTATGACTTCATTTCGGTTCTCCATAATTGTTTCAAGAACCGGAACCGATGTTATAACTGTTTTCAACCCCTAATACATTATCATTCATGAAATCGTGAATGGGTTGTAAATGTTTAATGTGTCAAATTAGATCGGTTTCAAAACGCCAGGCACAGCGTCCTGCGAATGGTTGTCCGTGTTTGTGAAGATGTCGCACGAGTCGCGGGACAAAGTCGAGCTTACTGTGGAGTCTGAGGCGATCGACGTGCGCAGCCCAAGGTGAGAGAACCGTGGAGGCGAGAATTTATCGGCGATTCCGCCAAGTTTCATTGCTTTGACTTCGGGACGCGCCGGAATTTCTTTGACAATTTTACGAGGCTGTAAATCTGCCGGGGTGTAAAGCCAGTCACGATTTTCCAGATATCGGCTGCACCTTGCGACGCCGCATCCGGTTGATCCTTGCACCTCCTCCGCCAAATGGCACACCGACACTTCCACCTTGGAAGTTACGCTGAAACTCGTGCGCGAACTGGACGATGTAAATTTTTAATTGGCCATTCCGTTTCCCCTTGTACGATCTCTGTGTACATACATGCACACACAGACGAGACGCTAGACGTTTATGTACGTGAGGAGATGCGAGTTATTTCAGTTAACCCGTTGAATGCCGGACGATTTCAGGGAACGGAATACACAGAGTAATACTGAATTATTTCGTTCAGCCATTTTATCATTTTTACACGTTTATTCTTGGTGATTGTTTTCGATTTAGGTTGGATATTTGTGATATAGAAAGGTTTTCAAACAATCATCGTTTACTTGAGTGGATTACTGTAATTTGATTTTGTAACGGCATTCAATGTGTTGAAACTTTATCTATCGAAAACCTATTTACAAGCTTAACATGTAATATAAACTGAATGAATCTTTCAAGCAATAAATTATTCTCAACAAATTTTCATTAACATTACCTTGCTTGATCAATCCATTCAATTCACATTTTTCTGTATTATTTAAGTAGCTGTTAGATTCAGCACATAGAAATATTTTCCATTTTAAGCTACAGACGCATTGGATATATACAAAAAATTCTCAAGCAATCAGTATAAAAAGAAATCGAACATGTTATTGTTCGTGACGTTGATATAGAATCGTGAAACTTGTAATAATTTCTCGCAAGAAAACGCTACGAGCACAAGGAACCAAGAATAATGAAAGAAATCTGTTGCAATATGTGCTTGATTAAATTATCCTATTCTCGATGGATCGACTCGATTTTCAATCGCTTTCGACGAAAATCATGGAGAATGGAAATAAGGGTAGAATCTCAAATTTTACGTTCGTTTCGTCGACCATCTTTTGACGAAATCGTTAATTGTGCTTCAAGGCTTTTAGTAACGATCTACAGTCCTGTTCATTTGAATAGCTTGGTATAAGGATACGTATGTAAGTTCGAATCGAAGAAAAGGGATGTGTGTTTGCATATATATGTATACACTATTTTCATATTATACGTTAGATATGCATGTAACATATTAATTTTGCATTGAGAAAACGTAACCGTTAACCATACGAGTGGCCTTACATATTTAATCACGTACTGTTAGTACATTGTAATGAGGTAAAACAAAGTATTACCATCAATTCCATAATAAGTGTCAAAAATATATTTTTTCGTATTGTTATTTTCATTGTGCTTCAACTACAAATAAGCGAATTAAATGTTATAAAAAACTAGTTATGGTTCTAGTTACAGTTCTGGTGTTTTATTTATCCTTTAGTATTAAAAGAGGTAAAAGAAATATTTAAAAGGTGTGATAACATTTTATTTAATTTTTCTATTCATTTATAATATACATTTTTTATGTATCACATTATCTTTTAAAAAATACAAATTCAAGAATTTTTGTTTAGAAAAAACGTAAACCTATATGTTCAACAATATCTAAATTTTTAATCTGAATATTAATACTTTGTTGTGTATGGTTGCTCGGAAATATAAACTACCGTTTCGGTGAGATGGTTAATTGCAAAAGTTAATCCACAGGAACGTATATGGACATATAAGCTAAGTGGTAAAGTTTCGAAATGATTCAATAATAATTGATGACAATACGTTTGGAACGGAGTTAATTTACTTTCCGAAGAAACTGCCATGTCAGATGAATTAATAAGTAACATATTGAGTTTGTAGCTTTATTCATTTACACATACCGTTATAGCGATTCATTTTCATTACCTTCATTATATTTGCTTTGTGTTCTTATTATGGTAATTTATGCTAAATATAAGAACATATTGAAAATTGTTGAACTCTATTGTATAACATCTATTAAAAAATGAAATAGGTATGTGTACTAAAAAATTTTTCATCAATTTCTTCTATACTTTCCTTGTCTTTCTCGTTACTTCGTTCGTTTTCATTAATGCTCATATATACAATATTTCATTATCAATAACAAGTTAGAACGGCGAATATTTAACTATCTCTTTTATTAGCATTGTTAATTTTCATTAATAAATTCACTTGACACAATCGAGATTTACACATCGAAAAGTTTACATTGAACAATTTTTCATCGATTTCTTTCACATTTTCGTTGCCTCGTTCGTTGCTTCGTTTTTCAATAATATGTGCAATATTATTTTATCAACGAGGCATTGCATGAACGCATTTAATTTCACCTCGTTCCCGCAATGTTAATTTTCATTATAAAATCGGTTGAAATGATCGGGTTTTAAGCTTTCGTTTCAAAGCGTAATTGTTACTTGTGAAACGGGAACGTCCATCGCGTGTCCAGTCAATTTCCCCCGGAAATTTGAACGTTTCGGGAACTTCGGTACAGAACCTCCCTCAGCGTGTCGACCCGAATGATCCGACGGTGACATATTGCGTAATGCAGTCCAGCAACACATTGCAATGCATGAAGAGAGATGCACAACGCTGCGGGGCCGCCCAGTGTGTCCTCGATACAGTGGAAACGATTTTTACGTGTGAATCGATCATAGAAACTGCATCCGAGAATGCAAGTCCGTGCTTTCGTACGCATTTTCCGATTAAGGTTGCTAGTTTTTCAACATGAAAAAACACAAGAATTTTTTTATGCATTTTAAAACTCATGCCTTCTTAATTTATATTAATGCCAAAAGCTAAATGCTAAATACTAAATTTTTCAATACCAAATTTCTAAATAATATTAACAAATGTCGTGTTCATTACTCACGTTTATAATAATATATTAATTGTACATATTTTTTTCTTACAAAACAAAAATATAAATTTTTTGAACGTTAGTTTCCTTAATAACGTGGATTTTTAACAGATGTCAGCTGAGAATACCTAATAATGTAAAAATATTTTGACTTAAATATCCAAGCGTCAAATTTCATTTGTACTACCGTCTACTCGAAGAGTTCATAGATTTTTCAATTCCGATCTCATCGAGGGTTAGAATACGCGTGTGACCGTGTGAGAACGTGGGACGAAGCGTACACGGAGCCGTTGAAATTTTCTGAGGCAACGTTTCAGGAGCCATTATGGTTTTCCCATTTCCTGAATGATATCCGCGTGAAAGGGAGATAGGAAAGGGAAAAGAATACATCTGCGCCTAGGTTGGCGGATGGATCGTAGTCATAGTTGCTGGAAATACGAAAATAATTGGACAGACGGCTCTTAGAATGCATCTCTGTAATACGTCAGGTAAAATTGCAGTACGAGATCAGAAAGGTCTTTGTAACGCGGATGGAAATGTTTAAAAGGAACAAAAGCGTTGTACGTACTTCCTGAAATTTCACTGACAAAGTAAAATGTCTTTTTTTCTGTCCTATTTCCTTGGTTTCCCGCATCCTCAGCTTTATTAATTGGTGGTCGCGCGGGAAATCGACTGCGATTTCTTTCAAACTTTATTTAATAATCGAGGTAAGTTTAAAAATATATTTTGTTTATATCTAGGGAAGAAAATGAGAAAAATATATTATGTTAATGTTTGTTTTAGTTGGAATTTAAGTATTTACTTAATTTTAGCAGAAATATAACAGTGCCTTTGATACTGATATCTAAACCGTATGTGTATTATATGTGTTCGAAAGACTGTTATTTGTTATTTTGTTACATTGACTTGTTTTTATTTATTTTATCCTGCTTGTACGATTTTTTAATAGAAAATGTATAAATAAATTTTTGGACACTTATTCTATGTTACAAGTTTATATTGTGTAGATACTATAATAGAAAAATAATAACATCACAATTATTAATTTATATTCTTTTTAATTATCACTTCGAACCATTTTATGTTTTTTTCACCGAAATAAATTTGTTTACCTTTGTGAAATTTCGTCAAACATCAGACCGATATAATATCAGTTCTAAAATGGTTGTATAATTATTTTTCGGTTCTTGAAACAGTTATAAAGAACTGAATAATAGTTCTATAAGTGTTATTTTCCAGTTCTTGAAACAGTTATGAATAGACAGCGGATCTTTATGCAAATTCAAATTTTCAAAAATATAATTAGAAAAATAGAAGCACCGTGGAAAGTGATTATCTCTAACAAATATTATAGAAAGCACTAAATTTGAGACATTTTATAAATTTTTTCGTTTTGCACGCATTCCGTGCAGTTTTGCATTTCCAGATTCCCCATAAATGCATAAAAATCCGCAGTCTCGTTATGAAAAATCGAAAAATAACATGACAACTTAATGCCAAATGCTAAATGCAAAATGTTAAATATTAAAATTCTAAATACTAAATTTCTAAACAGTAACTTTCTAAATAATAGATTTCTAAATACTAAATTTCCAAAAATTAAATTTCTAGATATTAAATTATTAAGTACTACATCTTTAATTAATAAATTTCTAAATACTAAATTTCCAAGTACTAAATTTCTAAATACTAACTTTTGAAATATCATTTATAGAACTATTATTTGGTTCTTCATTTCAATTCTTCATAACTGTTTCAAGAACCGAAACCGATATAATTGTTTCCAAACCTTGACGTTATCTTTGCTCACGTTCGAAATAATAAACGGAAACGTGATTTATTCGAGAAATAAAATTCCTTCGGTGAAATATGGCCGTCAAATATCTTTTTAATAAGGGCCTATTGACATTGTCATTAAGGCCGCGTTGCCTTGACTATTACCGGCACGATAACGTGTTTGATAACACGATGTTTCTAGTGATAGTGTTTACCGGCAATACCTAGCCGACGATCGTGTTTGATGTACGCCGATAATGTGCAACGATGCGTGGCATTCGGGTAATTATAAATCTGGTTACGAGGCTGGAAACTGGCCCCGCGTAATAGAACCTGGAAAGTCGCGACGACAAATTTAACGGCGCCAGCGGTATGGTGGGCGTAACTTGTCTTGGGAAATTAATAATGTTGCGGTTGCCTTTTAATGAAGGCTTTCAACGTAGCTTTGCGAAGCTCGGTTATAAATGAAATATTCATCTTTTTGCATATCACAACACCGACAGGCGATCTAGATGAATTCCAACGAGTAATGTTTAATTCACTAAAATCTAATGCGCAATTA